TTATAGTGTGCGTTAACAATTCAAAAGTGTAAGTGTGCAAGCACTCGGTGTTGACTTCACATCAAATGACGGACAAAAGTGGAAGCTTGGTGCGAGGTTGTTCTTACACATTTTAAAAGTGGCAAATTGCAAAATATAGTGAACATGTAAATTTTTAGATACATTACACAACATTTCGCGAGATCTTAAAAAGCGAGAATTCTGTCATGTACCGTGTGAACAATTTGATTAAGGACCCATTCAAAACACAAGTTGACCTAAATTAGTGCTTATTTGCGACTTTACCCGATAATAGTATAGTGACGAAATACTCTATATAGATGTAGAAGAAACTCCAGTAAAAATATTCAGGAATCAATTTCTAGGCGTATAAATAAAATGCAGAAAATTTCAGAACTGCATCAGTATTAACCCTGGTAGGCACGCTATTGGCGATAGCCGCGACGTCACTGATAAACCAAGTGTGCAACTCTTAAAACATGTTAGTGTGAAACCATATAGCAGCATTCCTGTAAATGTTTAACCTCGTTAGTTGTGCACCTGTAAGAGAGCAACTGCCCTTTTTAACACTTCTTACGCAATAAGCGTCTAATTTGGGTTGAACAGACGAGTTGCACACTTAAAGTTGCATAATTCCGAAGTTGACCACTTGAAAGAGGACAACTATGGGGAAATGAATACATGCAAGAATCCAATTTGCAGTTGCACACTTGGTATGTCAGTGATTGCAGGCACGCAATTCTTTTAATAATGTCACACTGAGAAATCCACGTAAAGTCAATAATCAGACCCCAAAGTCCTCAATTTTTGCACTTTAAAGCGCTTACAAGTGCTCTTTCAGGAGTCGCTCCGCTACCTGGTTCCATTCTATTTTCTTTTTTGATCCCACAGTGACAGAAAAAACGACGAGTCGACGCATCCTAACAACAACACTGATATTTCAAATGTGGTTATTTTCATCGCTGAAATAATGGTCAAAATGTGATTCACAGATTTTATCGCACCTTTCTGTTGAGTAATTTTAATACCGATTTAAGAATACCATCAGTTTTGCTAAAGAACTGCAATAATGTCAGCTTCAAAGGCGCGATAAATCAGCTACAGAAAAATGCAGTAATGACGGTATGGCGGCTTAAGAAGTGCTATAATATTTTCATCGCTGTGAAATTTTAAAAATTATCGCAGTAGGTGCTATCATTAATGTCAATTCCAAACGACAGTTTCTTTTTTGTCGTTGCCTCAAATGCAAGAAAATGTGGGAATCACATTTTGGTCGTTAGTGCTTTAAATTCGATGTTCTGTGCATTAAAATTGACAGTGAAGAATCGTTCTGCAGCGCGCAAGCCGTCTCCACAAAACCCTATCTACAGCACTGCACTGAAAAAAAATATCCTATCTACCGTGTGGCGTTTTCAGAAAAGCGTACATGGAAAACAAGGTTGGGTGCAGCCCGTCACCTCTGCATGTTTCGCAAATTACTGTCCAATCAACACACACGGAAAAAGTCGCAACGGTCTTATATTTTATATTTATAAGCGCAAAAAGTTGGGAAGAACGAGTAGATGCAGAATGCACTTCCTTTAAAATATCCTATAACTCGCGTTTTGCAGGTGGGACATACTGAAATCAGTGCGATATTAGATATGATTTTGGGTACTCTGGAAACCCACGTGTGTACATGTATGCGTTATTTGCTGCCTACATGTATGCAGCAAATGCTGCGTACAGGATCATGTATGCAGCAAATGCTGCGTACAGGATCATGTATGCAGATAATACTCCATACGAGGCCGTGTACACACCTAGAGCTCTATGCTAAAAGGTATGTGCCGAAGTGTGTGCCTGTATATACGATAACGCATACAAGTACACTCTTGGGTTTCCAGAGTAAACGCTGCGCCGCAGATCGGTCTTCATGTTAGGACAAGTAGTCTGATTGTATGACGGAAGTAGGCAAATGAGACCTAATAATATCCTTTCGATTATAAGAGTTCTGTCTGTGAACTTAGGCATAGATACAGTATTTTACTTTTCGTCAGTACAAATCGAGGAGTCCCCAACTAAAAAAAAAGTCGTTGTTTATGAGAAAGAATAATCGCAAGGTACTCGCGGATACTCACGAAAAGCTCACGAAAAACAAACTATGGTACTATTTTGTGCGTAGCTACGTACTACTGTCAACATACATAACCTACGTACAAAATTTGTACGTAATTATGCATAATATCGCTAAAAATTGTACGTACGTAACGTATGCGCATAGTTGTACGTAAGCTACGAATGAAATAGTACATAGCAATTCCGATAGTACTCGCGAAATATTCGCAAAATACTCCAGGATACTCATGTAAAATCAGAGGTAAAATCGCCAATACTCTCCAGTACTCGCGGATACTCGCGAATACTCACAAAACTCGGTGTACACCGACTTGAAGAGTGGGGGACCTATTCGTACAAATACCGAGTGTTGCAATCGCAGCTTTAGGGTGTACGCTTAAAGAATGGTTACCTATTTATGGGGAAACTTGACGAAAGTACATGTCTTTCTTTGAGAAAGTTATAAGAAACATCATGATCATAAAAAATTATTCTGTACAGTAAAAATAGTATATCATAAAACCAGGCTGCAACTGATATTGGATACGTGTTTCACAAAGAATCTGTTTTGCCGACTTCTCATATGCGTATGTATGCCGTTCGTTTGGTCCCTTATTACATCCTGGAAAAGCATACACGGCATGGATCTAAATACGTAAGAACTGAGTGGTAACGTCGCACATGAGGAGGTTTAGTACAGTGGTTTAGTCCTCGCATTGGTATCTTGCCTTAAACGAGTGAAAAATTACACTACAATGTTGAATTGTAGGACGTGGACTATTACACTTATATACCCTCATTCTAAGTTATGGAAAGGCGACTTAACCGGGCACGACACGAGCATACGTACGAAAATCCCCACTCCTCTATTTTGTATGCCACTTATTTTCCGTTCCAATGCACAAACATGTGGTATACAATGTACGTCGAGATACTAGTACATCGTTCATAAATAGGAAATGTGTATTTCCAGAAACTATAAATCTGTTTTTATTACTCTAGTAATAATGTTTGACGTAACACTTGTCTCCGCAAATTAGCAACAGGTTCATCGGCTAAAAATTGGCAGTACCTGTTCGGATATGACACTTTTGATGCCAAAAGCCCCTCATTGCCGAATAACGGGTAGAGGAGAGGTGTCATTCCCTAGCTCTGTAAGAGGGCTTTTGGAAATCAAATCGTCACCTTTGACAGCGTGGCGCATTTTGTGTTGCCGATGTTGAGGCGAGCATAACAGCCAAAAAGCAACGTTTTTCCACAAACGTTGACACTTTTGTTTCTATTTAAAATACAATGCACTTCTACCGCCCAGAATTTACATGATGGTGATCAGTTAACAGACGCATTTGCCACGGTATAACGGAAGCTTCTAATGGCGAGAGGTCCAATCTTCCTCCTGTAGGTAATTCCAGATACCAAAGTTATTTGCTAGATCTATGCAGGTACTTTTAAGCACCAACCAAGACTTCTAAGCCTGATGTCTTGAGTGGTGCAAGTCCAAATTACGCGCTGGGACTGATGTTTCTCAGAGTAGCATCACATCTGAAAGCAAAAGAAAGACATGGGTTAGTGAAAATCTGAGCGGAAAATATCGATCTCTGTTCTTCCAATACCACTTGCAGCGTTACCGGCTACATACGCCAGCCAAGAAATAATCCGCCATTGTCCAAGAATATATAATATATCATTCGAGATGTTGGCCCGACTAACCTGTCCAAAGTGGCCGTACCCATCCAGCATTATAGTAAGTGAAGGAATTGGTGCCTTTCCCAGTGAGAAATCAGTGGTCGAATCGACCTCGAATCGACGTCGATTAGGCAGGTCGGAAAATTGTCGATTCCAAATGTCGAATCGACGGGATTTTGTCCCGCAAATCGACGTTTTTTCGACATCGGCTATTTCGATAATT